GTTACAACATTCTTCGTATTCTAGATAAACTAGAAATATTCTCAACATTTACAGAACGATAATATGATATATATGACAGCATATTCTTATTCTTGATATCCATTGATTATTTTCTACCTATTTGTACCGCCATTTGTTTTTACCTACTTCTATTACCATTACCAGTACTACTACTACATAATTACATAACATTACCTTATTATTATTTTCTTTTTTGACAGGGGCATTCGACAGCTTGGTCATTTCAGACCCGGAGCACTAACAAAATACCGCTACATACTTTATACACAATCACACCAATAAATACATTCATGCATATATACATTGTTCGCACTCATACTGTTTGGTAGATGGAGTAATCTATATTCCTCCATCTACCTGTTCTCTACAATAGACTAATCTAATTTGGGGTCGATGGGGTACTTCAAAAGTTTTCCGCGGTAAACGCAAGTCACGCACGCAACATGAGGGGTTATGGAGATGCTACTTCACCATCTGACCCTCCCAATTCACACAAATAAATACATTCACAGCACTCATTTAGTACTTGATATCCCTCCATCTACCTGTTCCCTATAATAAACTAATCTAAATTGGGGTCGATGGAGTATTTTTATAAAATTTCCGCCATCAGCCCAAGTCATACACACTACCTGAGAAGCGATGGAGAAGCTAATTCGCCATCAGCCCCTCCCCATTCACACCGATAAATACATTCACTCATACAAGTCACAGAAACACAAGACACATAACTTAACTTCTATATACAATAAAGAATTCCCAATCCACCCAAAAGGCGGAATAAGGGAGCCTGAAACTCGCTACATTGTCCGAGAACCATTCTTAAATCCGGCCGCATGCCTACAAGCTCTCTGTTTGGCGCCAAGGCATGACACGCCTCTATTATGTGGGACAACGAGCAACCTTTCTCTACTTAAGGGGCACGTGAGCGGGCTTTGGCCCAAGAGCAGGTGCCCGTGTGTCAACTGAGTATGGCCAATCCTCAGTCGGTTGAGGACGATCCCTCGTGTCCTGCTCAGGTTCTCTGAAGGCCATCAACCGGTCGTGCTCTTGACTCGCAATAGCCTCTCCGACGACCTCGCCCACTGATGCTGCCATCTTTCTTTTATCATGTTTTTCACCGCTTGCTTAGCGTCAGAGGGTCTGATCGCGATGGTCCGATCCGGAGGGTGGGACCATTTACCTTATTACTTACCAATACTATCCGTAGTAATTTCAGTACTAAAACTAACAATTACTAAAACTAAAAACCCCTGTTACTCCTCCTACCTTTATGCACAATAGTCCAATACTGATCGCGGTGCACAGGTCGTAAAGAGGCCGGCTCCTATATAATCTAACCTTTACCATACGTACTGATTCAACAATAACAACAAGAGAAATGACAATCTATTAAACTAATAATGGTAACTGATTACTCAATTAGTAATTTCTGTACATAAGTTTATGAATGCGGTTTTTATACAAAACTTATTCATTTATCAACGTAAGTTTATTTTTCTGTTTAAGGCGTTTCATGTTTAATCGTTTAACTGTCTTAGTTTATTTATTTTACTAATTCTGTAGCTTTTAATAAGAGGAATTGAATAATAACTCTATTGTAATAAATCCTGACTGAGATAGTTCGTCTAAAAGGGGCTAGTGTTTAATAGTGGCAGAGTAGCAGATTACAGGATTCGTCGAGAGCCGGGGCTTTTCTAATGCTTGGGGAGAAGATATAAGGGAATTACAGATTATAGCCTATCAAGGAGATAAGACTTAGCCGACATCGAACATCTGGATTAAGGGGAAGCCAAGAGTAATAAAGATTGTAAGCCCAAACAGTAAAGCGTAATACATTCCCGGCTTACAAATGCTACCTGAGCCGGTCATAGAACGGCACAAAAGCAATTAGAATAAATTTATATTTGAGTTTTTTAAGGGTTTTCTCAATTTCTCTAAGAGAATACAGTATCGTGTAAAAAAATTAAACTATGTACGTCTTGTTTAATTACATTTGGTGCTATTTTTTTTAAAGTCGATTTGCATGCTGCATAATTAAACCAAGAATTTTTTAGCACGTTCATTCGGTCATTGGAGTTAGCATATCGCTTCGTATGAAATTACATACATAATTGAATAGAAATCAACCTTTTTTGATAGATATTACTAAAAAAAATGTTGTGGCTTTTTTGCTAATATCGAATTGTACACTTTTGTTTGAAAAACAACACAAACCTCTGAGATAGTTATTGAGCCCCCAATTGGAGAAAAAATAAATAGAAAAATTTATATTTTCAGAAAAAAATGTTATTATTTTGTTAATTAGACTTATGGAGTCGGGTATTATGTACGAGCAGGTATAATTATTAATATTATAATATTGTATAAAAATAGGCATTTGACAATTTTTTTAAAGCGAGTTTTTTATATATTAAGTTTTTGATGAAATAGGACACTTCTGTTATATGTACATATAGTTGATTTAGTAGTAAATTACGTTTGTGTGCGTATTTATTGGCGTGAATGTTCTGAGAGGGTCTCACACAAAGAAAATATTTCATGCTTTGGTTCTATGTAAAGAGCGAGTAAACATGCCCATGGCAATTGTTCTTGAGCACATAAAAAAATATCTATAATTGAATGGAAATCACTCTTTTTTGATAGATATTACTAAAAAAATGTTTTCTGCCTTTTTTTGCTAATATCGAATTGTACACTTGTTTGAAAGACCTGACACAAACTTCTGAGATAGCTATTGAGCCCCCATTTGGGGGAAAAATAAATGAAAAAATTTATATTATCAGAAAAAATTGTTATTATTTTGTTAAATTCACTAATTTCGTGGTCCGCTTGACCAATTAATATATTACAATTAATTAAGGTTTTTAGTTGAGATAAAAAATTCAATGGCACGAGCGGGATTCGAACCCACAATCTTCGGCTAGATACGCCGCTGCTCTGCCACTTGAGCTATCGTGACCTCGATCCACTCGGACACTAACTTCCCATCTCAACCCCACCTTTTGAAAATGGTAAAAAGGAGGGAAAATTCAAGTGGGAGGGCAGCGGCGTATCTAGCCGAAGATCGTTGGTTCGAATCCCGCTCGTGCCGTTGAATTTTTTATCTCAACTAAAAACCTTAATAAATTGTAATTGTTTTGTTAACTACATTTGTAGACTCATAGAATCTGCTATTATCTACGAGCAGGTCTGATTATTAATATTATAATATTGTATAATATAGGAATTTGACAATTTTTTTAGAAGCGAGTTTTTTATATTTAAGTTTTTAGATGAAATAGGACCCTTCCGTTATATGCACATATAGTTGCTTTAGATAGTCAAGTACGTTTATGTGCGTATTTATTGGCGTGAATGTTCTGAGAGGGTCTCACACAAAGAAATGTGTCATGCTTTGATTCTATACAAATAGGGAGTAAACATGCGCATGATAATTGTTTTTGAGCACATCAAAAAATATATTTTCTATTATGATAAACTGGAACTTAGTAAATGATCTAACATGTTTAAGATAACAAATGTTTTTCGTTATAGGAAGTATTTATTGGTGTGAATGTTCTGAGATTCTGAGAGGGTTCTTCGCAATGAAAGAAGTCATCCGTTGGCTCTATATAAAGAATAGTTTTTATGGGAATATATGATCTTAATTGAACTTCTAACATTCTTACAAGAGCAGTTTTTTAGTTGGTCCTACTCTGATGGATGGATTTGATCTATGGCATTTCAGGGCCAATCGTTGCAGTCGTTTTTGAACCACTAGTACTCGTATGACTTTAAGTTGAAGTAATTGCTGCAGCACTAAAAAAGAGTGATGTATTTTGTAGAAGGGGTGGTTGAACATTAGGTGTCCCTGACAGGGTTGGTCCACCAGGCAGCACACCTAGTCCCTGTGTGCCTTGCACATTTGCTTTAGTCGGAGTGCAAAATTATGGATGGAATATATTTAGATTTTAAAACAAATAACAGTGTGTATAAATATTATAAGGATTTTTATCATTAAACCTTAAAAACTATTGAAAAAAAAATCACCGCATTCCTTTTGAATTAACATGCTCACCGAATCCGAAAATATTTGAACGGGGATATTGGCAATAAAAATTATACTTGCGATAACATCGGCAGGCCATAGGGAATGAAGTCATTTTCGGAATTGTAGTAAACGTTTGATTATCTCATTTCTCTCCAGTCTGTTTGGAAGGGGTAGAATTACCTTCACTTTCAGATTTGCATGCAGATTGGTTTGCACCCCTCCAAAGCAACCGAAGTGAATACCGTAGTCTTTTTCAAAAACCGACCGAAACTTAAAAAAACTAACTAACTGCTTTTTTAAGTGAGTCGTGAAAAATTATAGCAGTTCAGATAACCTAATTGTCTAGGTTCTAATAAGAAATCTTGATATACTGTTAAAATATTCTTACTTATTCAGAAAATAAAAATACATTGTTTAAATAAAATAAATTTCCCTCCATTGTTGTGTTTCTTTTTACAGCTTTTATTATTATTTTCACAAGTTTCTGAAAGCTATGTCCAAAGTCATTATGAATTGATGCTGGCCTTTTGAGTTGGTGCATCATATGCTACCGGCTCTTAATTTTATGCGCCAAGGTCGATATCGTAAAACATAAACATACTTTTTAATTCGTTATTAAATAATTTAACTGTGTTATAAACACAGAACAACGGTAGAACACTGTGAACCTGTAAACAATAACAATAAAGGTCGCCGTTAGCGTTGCTTAATTTTCCATATAAATCTCGCTTACAAGACTGGATGTGGATGCGTGGTGAAATGTAATTTTCTACAGTACCATTAATAAATGTTACGACCCTAACATTAAGAAATTAACGTAACGATAAAGATACACATATGTGTGAATAATTGAGGGTTACATTTTAGCCTTGCATATGGCATTTTTTTGATGCTCCTGGCAGAAAAGCCTTTAAACATACAAATGATTAGCCAAGAATTAAAAAAAAATTTGCTATAGGAGTAAATGAAAATTTATTTTTTATTTAATTATTTAATGTATCTAATAATTATGTTTCTTTATCTAGTACATAGATTTGAGGTAAACCTTTAAATTGTTAAAATTTTATTATTTCTGCTGCTCTTGACTTTTTGCAAGGTTCTCCCTCATAATCTCGCAACGTTTATCTAAAAGAAAGAACAATAGATAATAGTGAGAAAAAAGGGTTAATCATACTGAAAGGTTTGCAATACCATGACTTCTGCGTTCTTCTGGACAATTCTGTAAAAAGCAACGTGAAAAATGATCGTACGATAAAACAAAATGTAATCAAGGATATAAGGAAAACTAGTCGATCCACTTACCAGCTCAAGCTGCCTCCATATGCAGTGTTTCATCTGCAATGCCTGCGGATTGCATTTGTAGGGTTCGGGGTCATCTTTCCACGACACGTCTGCGGAGCATACATGAATTCATAAATAGGAAGGAGAAAACGGGGTGAAACAAAAACGTCCCGACGGGCCAAGGCATTATCGACTTACCCACTTTCATATCTCCGCATGCATCGAACGCTTTATTTAAAAGTTCTTTTTGCCATTCTTCCTCCAGTTTACCCACCATGAGCTCTTTCGCTTTGTTCACGTCGTAAGACTCATCTTCTGAAACCTTCAAATATGCCAATTTTTTAACATTATATGTATTGCTATGCATTACATAAGCACCCATCCCTTGACTTACCACTCCTATTTTCTTTGCTAAACACTCCGCCATGCACTGTCGAAGCCGTTTCATGAAACAGAGAGAATAAATACGTGTGTTACATACATAAGCATTTCGGTTATTTATTTTGAAAAATAGTGTGATTCGTTAATAGAAATAAACTTAGACGGAGTTATTAATTTAGAAAATTATTTTCAAATTACGCCTAAGATTAATTTTAAATATCGTAGGAAATTTTTAGAAAAAACGGCTGTCGTTTTGCCCACCTGCCACGCCTTTTCGTTCATGGCCGAAAGAAACAAAGCATTTGGCCGATGGCCGAAATAAATTCAAAAATTAGTCGTGAAAAACCTTCTTAAAATTAATTATTCAGAAATCGTGAGATGCGGTCTGGTGTGATGTAGGTTTCTGAATAATTATCGATTAACGGTCACTAATCACCACACACTTCTTAAAATTTTACATATAAATGGAGGTATATTAACAATAAGCAAGACAACCCTCTAACGAAATAATGTATGATAATAAAAAGAACAATTACTCTTTATGTAAGGTATTGGTTGAGATGAAAAATGGCAAAAAGGAGGAAAATTCGAAAGGTTGTAGGTTGAGGTGGGAAGTTGGTGTCGGAGTGGATCGAAGTCACGATAGTCCAAGTGGTAGAGTAACGGCGTATTTAGCCGAAGGTCGTGGGTTCCAATCCCGCTCGTGACACTGACTTTTTTATCTCTACCAATACCTTACCTAAAGATTAATTAATGGAGAGAAGTTATTTGGTCAATCGGACTACGAAATCTAATGGATTTAAAAAGAACAGTGTTAATTCGTTTGAGCAATTAATCATTCAAAGAAGGTATGATAAAAAAGTGAATTTATTTTTTCCTTAGTTCATAAAATGAAAGTTCAAATTTACCTTGAGATGAAAATATGCTTGACACCAGAGTGAAAAAACATGTAATTCTTTTCCTCAAGTAGGTTTAGGCCACACTTTTTGGGCCATTCTTGGCCACAAAAAAATCAATGGGACAGCTGGATTGATTCGAGTACTGTTTCATTTTAATTCAAAAGTTTAAGTTTAAGTCAAAAGAGTTAAAAATGCAGACAAAAATTGTGCACAAGATTCTTTGCAACAATGGTTACTTAAAAAATAATGAATATATTTTCATGGGCTTTCACATACCTATTATAAATATGTTTGTAATTACCAAGATTTGAAAAAAAAAAACTATTTTGTAATAACTATACGTGAAAACAAAAACAAGAATGATAGAATAACTAATGGGATATTTGACAATAATGTATACATTAATTTGTTGTGTGGAGGATTGTTGAAAAACAAATTTATGCAAATAATGAAAGACACACATTTTATACATTTGCCTGTTAAAATGATCCAGTATTTAATCAATGTGTAGAGATTAGTGGCCGTTAATCGATAGTTATTCAGATATCGTGAGATGCGGTCGGGTGTGATGTAGGTTTCAGAAAAACATTTTCTTTGTCGTGCCAACGTTTCGATCTTTTATTGAGATCATCTTCAGGGCTCAATAAAAGATCAAAACGTTGGCACGATAAAGAAAATGTTTTTCTGAAACCTACATCACACCCGACCGCATCTCACGATATCTGAATAACTATTTAATCAATTTTAAGTTTTCTAAACTTAGTACTATAAAATATGGACAAAAACACTTTAAAAACAGTCTAATTCAGCTTGCGCTAACCAACTTTGAATTTATCTAAAAGAAAATTAAACCGGTTTTGTTTATAGTTTAAGCTCTATAAAATTTAAACTCAGCAAAATTAATTTTGATTAATGATTTCAATCGCGATGAATTTGTGAATTTATTACTATGAATCGCGTCAGAAGCATGAAATGACTAATTACATTAATTAACATAAATGATCAAATGATTAATAACAGTAATATTAAACTAACGAGGAAAAACGGACAGCGTTCGTTTTCAGAAATAGTCCTCTATGACAAATCTATTAGGTTCATCGCGCACCAATAAAACTATATTCTGTCCTGACCAAAGTGTCAAAAAAGAAATACTCAGCACTGTATTCAATATTTTTTCATTGTTTGCTTAGTAACATTTTTGGGAAAATTATTTTACTCTGTTTAATTTTTTATTTAACTATTTTATATTTTTCTTTAAATATATCCAGTAAACACAAAAAATTGTAACGATTGCACGTATTTAATTTAAAAAAAACACTTCGTTTGCCTCTCAGAGTGTATTAAATTTTGGGGCAGGAGATAAATGTTGAAATGATTTAGAGCAACTAGTAAGTCTCATTGGTTAAATTGGCTAAATTTTGCTGGTTGCACCGCACAGCCTCCGGGAATTATTTTTTTCCGTCAAGTTAAGACAAAACATGGCTATATCTTTGAACAGCCCAAACCAACCCGTTATTGCGCATTTACTCGAACTGCTTTTAAGTAGAGGCAATAATTCACGGTTATACTCGGTTTTAACGGAAGTTAACCGAATGCGATAGAACACGAGAGGGATTCGTATCAAGTTCTAATATCATCTTGCCTCTTTATCATACCCCTTCCAAAGAAGTATTTGTGAAATTTATCAACCAGCAACGCCCAAGGCAGTGGGCAAATCAAAATAGAAAGTCGATCATCAATACGGCGTCAGACAAATTGAGACGATATTTCCCATTTGCAATAAATCTTTCGCAGATCTTTAATGAAAGCGATCAATGTCCGAGGGTGAACTGCGAGTCGCGCAAAATTTAAACACCTTTAATTGGCTTATCGTGCATTTTAAACTTCACTTTGAACAATTTTACCACCTTATCTTGTAAAAGAAAAAATCTCGATTATCTAAATAATAAAAAAACCATTCGTTGTTTCTCCGAACAATCTACCTGATTTTACGTATTTCAGTTTTAACTTTAAATTGCAAGTGTAATTATGGGTAATTTTGAAACTTTATGTTCACGGACTGCGTGTTATCAAACATTTATCAATAATGTCTAATCGTCTTAATTAGCTAATCTCTCTGCACGTTTCATCTTTTTTTTGTATTCTGCACATTCATTTATATATCTTACTATACCAATCTTATATATCTTACTACATATAATCTTATAATATATCTTACTATACTTTCAGTACTGCCCTTGGAGGACCAGATGCTTTGAGAAACCATCCTAGACCTCGTTGATGAAGGATTAAGAGGTGAGTAGGTTCAGGGGCCAACGTCGTTTAAAGCCCCTTGGATGATTCAGGGAATGAGATAGTCGAGAATGCATGAATTGAAGGGTTAGGTGAAATGATAGTTTTGTAGAACATCAGGAAGGGGAAACAGATGAAGTCATGAGCGAAGAGAATGTTATGATCTGTGTGGACGGTGAGATTAGAGACATAGTAAGGAGTTAAGAGAATTCTTCTGAAGACTTTTCATTGGAATGCCAGAATATTGTGAATATTGTATATTGGCTTGGTGGTACCTCACAGTCCATTCGTTATGTCCTTATAGGTCGACTTATTAATTTGTACAGACATGTCTGAATTTGATCCAAAACAGTTTTCTTAGTTTTTATGGTTTCTTTTCAGTTCTTGTTATTTCCATCTTCTCAGAATCATTGTGTTTCGGGTAAGGAAAAACCTTTTAATGTGGAAACACTGTTTCAAAACATTCGTTGTGTACCTTAGAACTACACAGAATGGGAATTCCTTATCAGTTTGCTGTCTAAGTATAGTTCTAAGTACTTCACTTGTGAAGATGTTGATTGTTCCTTGTTTTTGGTGAATAGTCTAAGTTGTTCTAACATAAAAGATATTTGCGTACATGTTTCCCCGTTCAATTTCATCTTCCATTGGCTCATGCGTAATATTCTATTACCGTCCAAATAGATTGACAGAGTGATATTTTGACATTCGTACCAATTTTGTATTAAAAAAGTAAACAGCCATGGAAAAGTACTATGTCATTCATTGTTAGATAAAAGTATGTAAGATGTAGTTCGGGTTGATTTGGCACACTACATATTCTAGGTATTATTGTAGGTATTCGGTTGGAGTGCCAATTCTTGCCAAGGTATCGATATGACCTGGCCAAGATAACTGGAAGGCACACGGTATTATTCCGAAGAAGGGGGATCACGAAGGGAAAATATTTGATTTCTGGTCTTTTTATGCTCCAAACTATAGATATTCAACTGCCTTCAATTTACCAACACGACTTCTTTGATTAAAGGATTATTCTATTATTATTCTTCGGAATAAAAGTTTTAAGATTCAAAACGTTTTTAGTTATCTATGTGATATCTTGTTAACATTATGGCTACTTGTTCTAATGAAGAATACGCTGTTATACATCTTTTGTACGGGATTTGCGGGTTCAAAGCGATGGCAGCGCGTGGAAAATACATTTCGGAGGGAGCATTTGGAAATAAAATTAAAGAAAGTATAATAATTGATTCAAAATTTCCTTAAGTTTTTTATTTTTTATTATTATTAGTCTTTCCACCTTACCAATACTTCAACCACGGTTTTTTTATTTTCCTTTATCAATTTCTTCATGTATGAAAAAGTAAATAAAAAAGCAATTGCACCACTAATAAGGATATTAAATGTATTACGTTTACTGAAATTTGCTGGTTTCTTAGTTTGTAAATAGTAGATTAAAATCACCATAGTAAGTTTTTCAACTATTTTTCAAAGTTCTGGCTATTAAAACGCTTATTTCACGATCGTTTACAAGTTTAGTATCAATCACATCTTATTGGAAATTTAACGTAGTTTTCAATGATATCAACATATTTGTTCAAAAATTTTAGTTTTGTAGTTATCATTGTTTTTAGAAGCAAGGTTGTAAAATCTTAAAAAGTCAGAAAAGTGGAATAACTCCGAAACTGCTGAGATTCGGACCATAGTTAATTGGCTTTTAGGTTCCATTTTGAATGTCAAATCTACTGGTAAAGTTTTAACACGAGTAGCCGAACACCCTGTATAATAGGTGTAAAGCATGATGGAGAAAAATCGACCTATCCACTACCCTAACTAAGTTAGTAATATGTAAATAAGAAAGAATGCATTTCAGAAAGAGTGGAAGTGCGTATGGTTATTTTTTAGATCCATTTTGAATGTAAAATCTACCGGCAAAGTTTGTAACACGAGTAGCCGAACATCCTGTATAATTCAATTAAAATAATTCTCCCTGGAGTTGGAGAAACCATTTTAACTCAAACAGAATCGTGTGATTGTTTCATCATACATACTTACTAGGGAGGTAGGGAGGGTAGCGTACGAAATGGACCAGAACGGTGGGAATCGAACCCCCGATCCCGGGGTCTACAAACCGAGAGTCTATGCTGCTGTCCACTTGACTACCGCAGTTTTCTAAGTGGTACTTGAGCCACCAGTTCTGAGGTACACAATGAATGTTCTGGGACAGTGTTTTCACACCAAAAGGTTTTTCCTTACCCGAAACAAAGTAATTCTGAGAAGACGGAAATCGGAAAGATATCAAATCTCTTAATAATACTTTATAGGAAGTGAGAAAGTATATGACGATAGAAGGTCAACATGAAGTTTAGAGGTGACCTATGACAATGCAAGTAATTTTCATAAAAATTATTTAATATTTTATAAAAAAACACTGAAACAGGATACAGCTGGAAACGCCAGATTTGCAAAACATAATTTGGCATCAGATACTATTGCACTATCAGACTTCGTTATCTTTACATTAGTTTCTGGACGGAACTACTCAAGACTTTAAAATTAAATAGCTAAATATCTAGTACTTATCGATTATATATATTTTTAAATTACATAACCGAATATTTTTCTGTCAGTTCGAAACATTTTGTTCAGTTAATACCTGTCGCCTATAAAGCTACTTTTGAAAGTGGCAGCTCATTAAATCGCCACAACATTCACTAATGATCGACAAACAACCCTTATTGGACTTGTCAAGTTGATTGTTGGCTTGTAGATGTTTGATGCGGGTTAGTAAATGACCGATTCATACTTTTTTAGAGTTGAAAATTGTTGCGCACGTTATTGAAATAAAAACTATTTGCCACAATTTATTTATAGGCATAAAAGATATCTATAACTGTTTTTTAAGTTTTTACGTTCAATACCCTACATTTATAATTGAATTGTCGACTATTTTAATTTTTGTAATCACCCAACACAGATTGTACGCACCTTGTAATTAAATTCCTACAAGAAAATTCTCTAAGATGATTAAACCAATGGTGCCTATGATTTAAATATAACAAATTTTAAAAAATCATTTTTTTCTATTATTGTGTTTTATGCCTTAAAACAAGTTTGTTTGTCACCTTGGTCAGGACGTAAATCTATTAAAAATTCATTTTCGTGAATGCGACGCGTCATTGCGTTTTTAGAATCATATGTGTGACCGGAAGTGTGCAGTGTATAAAAACGCAGATCGTTCCGGAGGAAGTGTCATTTATCCGGAAGCATGAAATCGGTTTTATGGTGCTTTGTGACGGCCCTCGCGGCCGCTGCCTCCTACAATTTCGCAGATACGGAATTCAGTGAGTCTGTAATAAATTGATTAGTTTCAAAAATCACTTTGATGTCGTTGAAACACATCGTAGATAACACAATTTTTCTTGATAATAACTGTCTGTTTGATAAATTTGTTTCGACGAGTAATATTACGCATATGACTATAGTTATTTTAAAGTAAAAAGTAAAGTAATTCCCGTTTTAAAGGAAGACTTAATGTCCAACTTACCCGTTGGATGTCGCGGACGAGGGGTCAAACTACTGCAGTGTATTTCTTTTAATTTATACTCAACAAAAAGCCATGGGCTGTGCCTGGATTCGAACCCAGGACCCCAGGCTAACGTGGCCTTAACCACTCGATCATAGCTAAATGATTTCAATGATGAAAAAAAATATACGAGGTCTTTGAATATTCTTTGAAAATTTATTAGTATGGTTTTAAGAAGTTGTAATGAAAAATCTGTAGTTCTCATATATGACATAAATATTACTTAAATGTTGATGGTTTATAGACAACTTTCTGGATGAGGAACTGATAGAAATATCAGTGGTTTCTGAGACTCCACGATCCAAAAGGGAATCGGATCCTGAAAATGAAACCACGTACTCTACGACAGCCACTCCTCCCGAAACGGAGGTTTCTCAAGTACCTTCCGTTTGTAGACACCACTGCAGGAATGATCGGCGACGTATGACCTACCATCACAGCCACCGTTATCACGTAAGATGCCTTTCGAGTCGTAAACATATTTAAAATAATGGCTTTTCCAGGGCTGCTGTGGCCGAGGGTCCTTCAGAAACGCCAGATTCATGAAAGCGAGCGGTGATTATATGAACGAAAGAGACTGCATGCGTGAAGTGATGGAAAACATACCGAACGCTACAAATGGTATAAATATGTATACTATTCGATACTATTACTTATAGTATTCGATACTTTAAATAGGAATAATACATTTATTATAAAGGTAATACGGATTCTTTCAACATCTACTCTTGTGAAGAGGTGAACAGGATGAAAAAAAAACACGTCGTAAGTAGCCATGTCATGTTTTCTAGTAGAGTGTGTGATATCGCAACTTATGTGATATCGTAATTTGTAATAACAGAAGCGATGTTTTTTCTAATTTGCATATTCCTATGCAAGGTATCAAATGTCAAGTCAATTCGATTTTACAAAACCTATTTGAAAATCGGTTCAGAAAATCGTTAGATATTGAAAACGTAATAAGGGAAATTAGACTCTGCAACTTTAAACTTTACCATTGATTTTAAGTCAAAAATTAATTTTGTTTAACTTTACCATTTAGTTTATACAATTTAGGCCCATTGGAATATTTGGAATATTTTATCAATTAACTTCACAGACACAAAACACAAATGATAAAATATGACTAAATGTAAAAATACGCTACATACATTTAATTTATTCTATGTTTTTAATAATTAAAAATAGAAATGTTCGGAAATTATTCATAATATTGTTGCCCGTGGATGTGTTAGTACCTACGTTCACCGGATGAGATGGTAACCTGAAGATAAAACCTCCCTTCCGCATTTATAATTTACTCTTCTAGGTTCAAACAGGTTTCTGTCTGTAATTTTTGCTGATTTAGTTAATATAGGAACTGGCTGAAAATAGTTTTTTTTTTGCCCAACAATACTTTGTATCTCACTTGGGTGTGACAGAAGATTATCTGATGGTATTAACCTTCTCCTGTCAATCATGTAATAGTGATGAAATATGCTCTTAGAAATAATTAATATTGTAGGATTAGCTTAGATGTTGTACGAGCAGTAAATGAAAACGTCACAGGGCCTGATTGTCCGAGAAGCTAAAAGCTGTGCGATGGCTAAGAAGGTATTGTGCTTACCTGTTTGAAGTGAGGCCGTACCTATTGTACTGANTCGAAACGTTGGCACGATAAATAAAATGTTTTTCTGAAACCTACATCACACCCGACCGCATCTCACGATATCTGAATAACTATCGATTAACGGTCACTAATCTCTACACATTGATTAAATACTGGATCATTTTAACAGGCAAATGTATAAAATGTGTGTCTTTCATTATTTGTATAAATTTGTTTTTCAACAATCCTCCAAACAACAAATTAATTATACATTATTGTCAAATATCCCATTAGATATTCTATCATTCTTGTTTTTTTTTCACGTATAGTTATTACAAAATAGTTTTTTTTTCAAATCTTGGTAATTACAAACATATTTGCTGTTGTCCAATGTATTTAGTTATAATTTGAATTCAATAAGGTTATTTATTGGATTTCATATTTTCGTTGCTAGACTGGGTTTTCCAATAACTAATATATACTAAGGCTCAAAATTGACAAATCTTTTAAATAAAATTTACAGGAGATGCATGGAAAAATAAAACTGATAGGCGTACATATCCATATGCATTTAAAATGAAACATGGAGTCAAGCAGGAGTTATAAGCCCAAATTAAAAATAAAATCTCGGCAACGTACTATTAATTTTCCATGCTCTGTTCGCGAGAGATTATTTTAATTATGATTAAAAAATAATTTAATAAACATTAAAAGTCAAGCAGCATTGAAGGCAGTTGGACTCCCCCTTCAGTTCAAAACTGTGGTCTGGCGATGTCCAACATACTTCAGCATCTTTTAATGCATATTTTTTTGACATTAATTGCCTGTACTTTTAACGGTTAGTGAAAGGTCAATATTTTAAATAAATACTCGGTAGTTTGTTAATAAAAATAATTACCGTCTTTTACCAATTTTTAAGAAAGCCTAGAAATAAAAAAAAAATTAAACTAACTGTAAGAGGAACAAAAAAGAAAAATATAAGTGACCGTAAAAATAATAAAATAACAATTGAAGAATTTATAACGATGAACTAGATTATCGACCTGCTGGATACAAGAAGTCTTTTCAGAGGATCTTCGGAAGAGGTCAAAACAGAGAAAACTTCCTTACGGTTTTCGCCGAGCTTTCGACAGTTTTATACTGTCATCTTCAGGGCCTGTTTTATTATCATATAAACAAACAATTAAAACATGAAAAAACAATAATTACAACAATAATTGGATATCTTACTTTAAAACCTTAATAGGAAATTAAACAACATGGTGTTTTGGGCACAGAAGTACATTATGTTTTTTCCGGCTCAGCCTGAGGTTACATTTTTAAACAATGCTTAAATTAAACTGTCTAGAAATCCTGTTTAAAGAAACAAAAACGTTTCTTTAAAATATCGAGCGGCAAATTCTCAACGTTTTTACACTAAATCAAGCTTAAATCAAAATCTGTAATAAAAGTGTATAAGAGAATATCTCGTAGTTTCAATGAACGTATTTGTACTTATTTTCAGTTTGAATTTAAGTAGTTTATTCACATTAAATTAATGAGCTAAAAGGTTCAAATAAAAACTGAGCTATAAAGAGAACCAACCTGTAGAAAGAAATTAAAACACAAGCCAAAGTGTAGACTTGTTTAAAGAAGATGACCCTATATTACTTTTGTAAGATAGAGCAATTAATACGTTGTAAAACAAATTTTAATGTCAACCACTTTGGATAGAAATCACATTATTCCATGCGGAAGTAAAAATTTACAAGTTGATGCGCTAGTGTTTTAAAGCACCTTTAATAAAACGAGAAGAAAAATTTTACGACCCAGGACGCCTTTAACACTTAGACCATCAAAGTGAAACAGCCAAGACCTTAGACGTTATAAAATCTCCACCCCCGCTTTCTTTAACTTCTTTGAAATATTCAAGTTAACATTAAAACGCTAAAGAGTTAAAAGTGTATTTTTTATTTCTGGTGCGTGAATTGGGGCATTTCGGTATCGAACCGGGCCCCGGTCGAGATAGGGGAAAACGGATCGTTCTGGAAATACATTCTCCGCAAAGCTATATAACTAACAGTTAATGTCTTCCGTGATAAATCGCGGAATATTAAAGCCTGGATGGGCTGCATCGAGGGGGTTGGGCGTCTAACTGCATTTTTATACCGGTCTTATTCCCCGCTCGCGGGGGTTGAAACACAATAATCCTCCATAAAACTCAGGCCTAAGAGGATTGATGCAAGTAATTCCGCGCAGGCGAGGATTACGAAAATATTTAGAAATACGATGTGTTTCATTCCGAGTATTGGTGATACGGTATATTGGCCACAATGTGTTTTTTATTGAATTTAAATTACATGTTAACTATGGTAAGTCCAAATTAATTTAATAGATTATTTGGCCAAATTTAGTAAATTCTTTGTTTTTCTCAATATCAAATTCTGGTTTTATTTTGAAATATAATTAAAATGATAATGTACCTAATAAACTAAAACGTTACATAAAATTACATTACAATTACATTAAAAAAATCTAGGTTTTTTTATACGATGTGAATGACTAATACTGGATTCAGTGCATGTATTTAACTGTTTAAAAAAATAATTAAATCTATTTTTAAATTCAACATCAAGATTACGCTGTGTGAAGGATTTTAATTTCAACAAAAACAACCAGCCTCATTAATTTACTGGAGGCTTTATCGAGAATAAAGCCTTATTACGGGCTTCCTCTTCAGAACTATAAAACTTTATTTCATACTAAAGTTAAAAATTTTACGATAAATAGTAGGGCGTAAAAAAATGAGAAATGATGTTGGCTTATGGCAACGTAAATTTAAAAGTAACCATTAAATTAATTAATCTTTATGTAAGGTATTGGTCGAGATAAAAATGTCAGTGTCACGAGCGGGATTCGAACCCACGACCTTCGGATAAATACGCCGCTGCACTACCACTTCTACTATCGTGACTTCGATCCACTCCGACACCAACTTCCCATCTCAACCCACCTTTCGAATTTTCCATTTTTTTTGCCATTTTTCAAATGTCAAATCAGGATTCGATTCTCGGCCACAAATGAAATGGCTGGAGTGCTTTAGTGAAAATATACTTAATTTTACTTATTAAATCCATTAGATTTCGTGGTCCGATCTTTATGTAAGGTATTGGTTGAGATAAAAAAGTCAGTGGCTTCAGGTTATTAACCAGCCTCTACAGCCTTGCCAGCGGTTCCTTAGTGTAGGATCTTGCTTGTGGTTTTGCTTGTCCCAGTTGCAAGAACCTGCACCTACGTAGATCCTCACAGAAACATAAAATGAGTACCACGGTCTCCTCCTTTTCCTGGCAGTGTGTCTTCTGTCTGTACTCCTATCCGGTGCATGTGCTTTCTTAAGTGGCAGTGCCCTGTCAGAAGTCCAACCATAATCGGTTCAGTTGCCTTCCAGTCATTCTTTTGTAAATTTTGCAGATGGTACTTCTATGAATCTCTTTGCATGCCTCATATCTGTGGTATTGTTCCACTAGGTTTTGGACTCATTAAGGATCCATTTTAAGACGTATCCTTTCTTGTGGCAGGCTGCTAAGCCCAGAGAGTCCATGTTGGCTCCTTTTTGGCCAATATGTCAACATTTTCGTTGCGTCTGTGCCCCGAATGTCCAGGAACCTATGGCAGGGTCAGGTCATTTGTGTCACTGACTTCCGTCAGACCTCCATGCAGTTCGAAACACTCTTTGCCTTTGCCTCCCCGGCTAAGGCCCTAAGTGCTGCCTGGCTGTCAGAGAAAATGGCTATCTTCCGGGAATGTATTCCTAGCCTTTTTATTTCTCTGGCGCAATGTTCAATCGCTATGATTTCAGACTGGAAAACAGTAGCATATTTACCTAGGTTTACCGTTAGTTCGGTCTTGGGGTTCATCCCGAAGACCCAGCAGGAAAGATGGGACAAAAGCACAGAGAGAAGATTAACCCACCACCTTTCACCCAGTATCGAGCCATAGAATTGTGGTTTCAACCAGTTTTGGATCACCCAAATAATGACAGGACACGGAATTTTCATGCTTACCTGCACCGGTTTGATGTGTTGCCTTCTCAGTCGGTGTCACTGACCAACAAAGACTGTTCAACTGTCACCTATTTCAGAGTGCGAAGGATCCTTTAAAGCTCCTCTTCCGCCAATCTAGACCCAGACGCTCAATAAACTAATTAAATGAAAGTCCACTTGTGAGGCCCTCAAGCCTTTTATGCGAGCTATAGTAGTTT